AAAAAAAAAAAAAAAAAAAACCGTAAGGAAGAGAAAATATATTTACTATTTATTATGTGGAAGTGGATTGTTACAAAGGTCTCAATCATTGTCTTCATGTTGAGTAGACTGAGGAGAGGGAGGAATAGCTGATCTTGCTGTCTCAAGGGTGGCAAAGGAAGAAAATTCACATATAAGTGGACCTGAACAGTTCAAATTTATGTTGTTCAAAAGTCAACTGTATACACACATACACACAAACACACACATATATGCACACATACATCCTACTGGTTCTGTTTCCCTGAAGAAACTTGACTACAATATTTTATCTGGTTGTTGTGAAAATTAATGAGATAATGTACATGAGACCATTTGTTAATGTTAAAGTACTATAGCACATACGTGTGGTTGTCTGCCTAGTACATGTAATGTGTAATGAGCTTTGCTGACACTATAGACATGTAAATTAACATTTACAATGTGGTCATAGAGTCAATATTAGTGATAAATTGATTCAAAGCATCATAGGAGAAGCTAGAAGATAGCAACAAGTTGGGAGAGGAGCCTCCTAGACTTGTGGTTCTGGACTGATAGAGCATTTGCTGCCATAGTAAACTCGATGTGGACAGGAAACCATGGCTTAGTTGGCTTAGTTCAATTTACGTATTCAGCATCTAGTGTAACACTTTGGACACTGTTGTTGCCCAGATAACTGCTAAAGAATAAGTGACTTTTATGTACATAATCACTTCAAAATTACACTTTTGTGAGTGACTGGGTGACTCTGTGTTAACTGGAGCATTAATACAAAGCACTTTAGCTTATGGCATGGGGGGTTAGAAAATATGTATGTGTTGAGGCTGGGCATGGTGGCTCATGCCTATAATCCCAGCACTTTGGGAGGCCGAGGTGGGTAGATCACAAGGTCAGGAGTTTGAGACCAGCCTGGCCAATATGGTGAAACTCTTATCTCTAATAAAAATACAAAAATTAGCAGGATGTGGTGGCGCACACCTGTAGTCCCAGCTACCCGGGAGGCTGAGGCAGAAGAATCACTTGAACACAGGAGGTGGAGGTTGCTGTGAGCCAAGATCGTGCCACTGCACTCCAGCCTGGGTGACAGCAAGACTGTATCTCAAAAAAAAAAGTATATATATATATATATATATATATATATATATATGCATATATATATATGCATATATATATATACAAAAAAAAAAGTATATATATATATATATATATATATATATATATATGTATATATATATGCATATATATATATGCATATATATATACATATATATATATATATATATTTGAAGCTAGTCATGCTCTCAGAAGTGTTGAATGTCAATTAATTATAGTCTATATGCTAAATAATGGAGCTAGAACCTTAGGCTGGCTAGGGAAAGCCAAAGCCATGAATCCAGGGTGATTCCATGAATAAATACATAGCCAGTCCTCACTCTCTAAAATGAATAGCTTTGCTTCCTGGGGACTTTGCTGAACTTTGCATAATAGCAAGGTACAAAAATAACTTGCAGGAAAAACCAGGGCACTACTCTGAATGAATACTTTAAAAACTCCAGGACAGTAACTGGAATGCTATTTAGCAACACAGCAAATACTACCCAGTGTCACTTGTCAGCTCAAATCACTAGATGACATTCCTTGTAGCAGTCAATGGCCAGTCTGGACTGCATTAGCATGCTTCACAACTTTATGGATTGTGGCTTATGTGGGCAGCTATTTTGAGACTCAGGCATGGAAGAATATGGTTGCTTTCAAAATAATCTAGGCAAAAAGCTAAGTCTGGGGAAGAAGACCAGTCTTGTGGGTATTTTGGGAAGTATGTCATCATAGTGATTATTTCCAGGCTTCTCTGGATAAGGCCAGAGAGGTGGTTAATGCTGAGTGTCAACTGGATTGGACTGAAGGATACAGAGTGTTGATCCTGGGTGCTTCTGTGAGAGTGTTGCCAAAGGAGATTAATATTTGAGTCAGTGGGGCTAAGGAAGGCAGACCCACCCTTAATCTGGAGGCACAATCTAATCAGCTGCCAGGGAATATAAAGCAGGCAGAAAAACTTGAAAAAGCGAGACTGGCCTAGACTCCCAGCCTACATCTTTCTCCCATGCTTTTTGCCCTTGAATATTGGATTCCAAATTCTTCAGTTTTGGGACTTGGACTGGCTCTCCTTGCTCCTCAGCTTGCAGACAGCCTATTGTGGGACCTTGTGAGCATGTAAGTTAATACTTAATAAACTCCCATATATATACATATATATAACACACACACACACACACACACACACACACACACACACACACACACACACATTATTAGTTCTGTCCCTCTAGAGAACCCTAATACAGCCAGTAAAGAAGAGACCTTCAAGATAGCCTGCCTTAAATTAAAACAGCGAGGTATTATTTTCCATCTATAAAATTGAGAAGGAATTTTAAAAACAATGGTATTACTGAGAACATGCCCCAAGTGCTGATAGGAGGGTAATTTGGCCAAAACCAATTTTTAAGAATGCATAATCCTTTGACTCCATGATTTCACCTCTAAGAATTTATGCCAAGAAAATAATCCCATATCAGTGCAAAGATCTATTCTTTAGTTTAGGTGCAGCCCAGTGTTAATTATAATAGTTAAAATATTAGAAATAAATAATATGTCTAACAGTAGAGAATTACCTAAAGGAATTTTGTTACATCCATATAAAGGAACAGTATGAAACTATTAAAAATAAGGTTGTAGAAGAATATTTGATGACCTGGAAATTTGTTCATCCTCTGTTGTTAAGTTAAAAGCAGTTTACAAAACACTGTTTACAAGTGTCCACAACAAGTCTATGTTGTTTAAAAATCAAGCAAAAGAAGAATCCATACATGTGCACAGAAGAAAGTTCTAAAAGTTTCTACATTGAAATGTTAATAGCAATTATCTTTGGGTGGTGGGGTTACAGGTGACTTCTATAATCTTCTTTAGGCTCACCCCCACCAAATTTTCTATTAAAAATATTATATTAGCAATTGAAGTGGGGAGAAGTCAAAGGATTTCAAACATTTCAAACAAAGTGAATGGAAAACAAAAACACCTCTAATGAACTAGAATTGTCTACTAACGGAGAAGCAGGATCATTTTACAGTGCTGTGCCTTAACCCTGACACATTCTAGGACTTTATATTCTAGGGTACTTGGTTCAAAGTATATTTGAGCCCTAGTAGTACAGCATGGTCTAAAAAGTTCACAATGTTTTCATTTACCATGAAGTATTTTCTGCCCACACTATACTAAGCCTTGTACAACATGAAGTCACTTTATACAGCTCCAGGAACTGATGCAGAGAAGTGGCCTGACACATTCACGTGACTGTTAGCACACAGATTCCATCTTGGAAATGGAAGGTTTTGGCCCTTTAGCCAACACTCTCCACACCACTGAAATCCAAAACTAAATCTAAAACCTAAAAAAATTGCCTCTGGAAAAATAACTAAAAAGCTCATGTCCTAGACCCACACATAAAAAGATCTATCCTAGGTTGTTGAGGAGAAGTTAGAAGTATCTGGTGAAACCTTAACCTCTGTGGAGTGATGATGTCATCCGTGAGAGACCCAGCCGGTCCCACAAGTGTCCTTTGCTGTCCCTGACAGAGTGGATTGAAGGGATCATCTTGTCTAACCATGTCAACCATCTGCCACTAACTCAGCTGGCTGGGGAAAGGATTTGAAATTTTAAAAAGACTGATAGTGAAAATGGCTGGGAGGTAGATAGTTTAGTTTGAATGAGTGCCGTGACACTTTTCCCTGTCTGTCTCCAGCTGTCTCTGGACCATAAAAAGGAAAAAGTCAAGAATACATTTATTTTTCCCACAATGAATGAGCCAGAGATCCAGACAAAATTAGGCTTAAACAAAGTGAAAAAGTGTCCCACTAGTGGTAGGACAGTAGAGAAACCTCCAGACTAACTTAAAGCTATTCTCAGCTGAATCCCCCTTGTAGCTTACTCAGCCTTGCCCAGATGGGTGTTTTGAATTAGACAAAATCTAGCATACTCTAAAAAACTGAGAGTGGATAGAAGTTTAAGCATATAAGTTTCAGAATGACAGCTCCAAGGAATATGCATTCTTGACAGTCTTCCATAGTCCTTTAAAAATCAATAGTGAATCCAAGTTAACCCACCCTTATGCATCACTATTATGTCAGAGCTTCCCTGGGTCATTCACCAGCCCACCATCAGGAATGTAAATGCACAGGTTACAGAACACGCAACTCATGAGCTGGACTGACTCACCTTGCTGTCGCTGGTCCTCCTGCAGCTTCAACTTACAGGTGTGCAAACTGCCAAGCAGGTGGCCGCTGCCTTTTCTTGGTATAGTAGTCATGGTCCTAGCAGTATGGCTGTGACTCAAGGATCACTAGAGCACCTCCTTCTCTTGTCCAGTCACCTAAAATGGCCTTCACCAGATACCCAGAACTACATAGGTACATGCAGATCTTGTCTTTGCATGTACAACATATACTCCTCTACTAAACTTCCAAGATTTTTCTAGTCGTGATTCTTGACATAAATAATCAATGTTACTTCTCCTAAATATAAAGATGCCAATTCATCTGGCTAAAAACACAACTTAATTCTTCTTTCATTTCAAAACAAATTGAAACTATGCCCCCTGATAATGTAAAATTCTACAAATTAACTACTTCTAACAGATTACAGTTTTGGCATTTTTAAATTCCTTTTGCTGACATGAAATCGAATGCCTCCAGTTTTTAGAGAGGACTGTTAAAGTAACACATACACAAAGAAAAAAAAAATGCTGCTAAGTCAAGTGATTTCTAAGCCTGATCTGAGTTACCCTGGGTGACAGCTGAAAGTGTACAGTTCTTAAGGGAGGCTGGAAGGAGGAGGAGCGAAGTGGGCTAGGATGATTAGCATAAAGAGGCAGGCAAGATGGGCGTTGGAGCTGCTTTGAATAATAGTGACCAAAGCACAGTTTCTAAAGATGCCCTGCCATTATGTTACAGTAATTGAGTACCTGATTTCTGCCACTTTGTTTGTAATTAATATGCAAGCTGAGAGCAGGAGTTTATACCGCATGGACGTTCATTTGTACATGTGAAATCTAAAAGGTATAAATGGAACTGGTAATGAGCTCATGGAAATGTACTGCTGGAACTTTCAATTTCTGTAAACACCTCCTAGTCTTCAGAAGGGAGCAGTTAGAGGGCAGCCTTCCTGCCAAGGCAACTACAGTTCTGGAAGAAAAATAAACACATAAAACATTATCTTTCCAGAGTCCTGTTTCTGTTCCCTTTTAGAGTTCCTATTGCTACTTCTAGGTCACAGAAAGTAATTTCCAGTTTTACTTGTTGGCTATTTCGTTACTGTTTAAAAGCATAAACCCCAAACACCTTTAATTTAACTTGAAAGCCTGCCACAACTGAAGTCATAATAAATGCTGGTAGGTCCTGCCCTTCAAGAGTCACAGCTCTTCCCAGATTTAGAAAGAAGGTAGTGGGCAGGACTAAGGAGAAAGGCAGAGCTGTTTAGCCTCAGGGTCTGGACTCTGCAGCTTATATACATTTGGAAATTGGTGTTAAACTTGACACTGTTATGAACTTATCTCCTAACCAGATCTGTGTGGCTGCCCTCACTTTACTTTGAGGCAGTCAATAATGCCCCAAGTATAGTCTGGTTTATGAAAATCTTTATGAAATAGGTGATTGCTCTTTTGTAATTCTCGAATGCTTTAATTGTTTCAGTAGTCTATCTGCTGCAGTTTTCAGCCTGTCACAGTGTAACAGATGACAGAAGTGTTTTGCTACTTTGAAAGAGAGTCTTGTTATTGGAGAGCCATGGTTTTTACTTTAAATGTCTGCTATTCATCTCATCTTCCACAAAAGCTGTGGTGGAAAGCCAGGTGATTTTTCCTGAATAATGTAAAGTTATTGATATTTTATCACGTTGTGTACCTCACTAATAAGCATATTATTATACAGTACAAAACTGTAAGCCAGCCCTTTTGAGAAATACATTTAAAATGTTTTATGATGAAAAAATTTAGAAATACATGAGTAGGAGAGAATAGCACAATAAGCCCTGCATACTCATCACTTGGATTCAATAATTATCAACTCGTAGACAATCATGTCTCAAAACTATATGTTTTATCATAGCCATTCTCTCCCTTACTACACCACTGGAGTTGAAGCATTCAGACATCATTGCATTAATAAATATTTCAGTATATATTTCTAAAATGTGAGGATTTAAAAAGTCATAATAAGATAGTCACGCTTGTTACAATTAAATGTGATGCTTTACATGGTGCAAACTGCCTGTAATTAAGTATCCAAGCAGTGTTCTTATTTTCCTGATTGTCTCATAAACTTTTTTATCTTTACTTTTTTTCTTTGCAAATTGAGACCTAAAGGGCCACACATTGTATTTGGTTGATATGTTTCTTAAGTCTTTTTTAATCTATAGGCTCATCTCAGAGATAAATATTGCTTGGAAATGAATATCTACACTTACCCTAATTTATGTCTGATTTTTCAAGGAAGCCCCGTAGATGCCTCCATTTTTCTTCCTCAGGGAAAAAAAGAGAAGAAAAGGAATGGTCATCTGGCTGTGGAGGTTAAGACATCCAGCTTTCTTGTTCACGGTGCTCTCATTCACGTATGGTGTAACCTTGACCCAGGTGCATAACATCTCTGCATTTGTGTCTTAATTTGTTATATGAAACAAATGTTTGTTAAGCAATGTGATAAATTATTCAACACTCATTCTTTGGATATAAAGGCCTGGGAAAGGGAGGAGTATTCTGCTTTGTCTCTGACTAGAGCCTAAGGAGAAAGAAATAGATTTAAAACTAAAATCTGGGTAGGATTTAGGAATGCATTTGAAAATCTAGCCCCTCAGTTTTCAAACTTAGCTAAGTATCATAATTACCTGGGCAGTGTTGTAAAGATGTAGATTCGTGAACCCCAGCTGCACAGTCTGATGTCTAAGGTGGAGTCTGGAATCTATATATTTTTATAAGTCCTCTGGTCTAAATAAACAAGCATTACCTGCTTAAACAGGGCTGGTTTGTTCTACTATTTCATTCATTATATCTTTCTTGAGGTCTGATAAAACTAAACAAACACTCCTTAAACAGTAATTTCAAGTGCCACAGCATAATGGGACAGGGAGGATAACAAAGGAATGCTACTGCTTCCTCTTTTGTGCATGAACAAGGCAGTCCTGGGCAGTGGCCCTGTGATGGATTAGCCAAGTCAAGGGACCCTGGCTGGGTTCTGATACTGCGTGTTGAGTTCCACTGCTGTTCTTGAAGGAGTCTCTAGTTTGATTTACCAGTTTCCACTGGAAATCAGCCAGTATGGCGGAAAGCAGCATGTTATAGGAGTACATAAGATAACCTCAGATGTATTGGCTGCAGTGGGATGGGGGACTACTTTGCTTACCCCTTTCCCCACTTACTTTCCAGAAACACCACCAAATTAGTTCACAATGGGCATATTGTACCTGGTGGTACGAGGAACAGGCAATGTGCTAGATTTATTAGAGTGTGTCACTTTAAAAACTCACTTTTTTACTTTTTATGTTATACAATGCACACACAAAATTATTTTAAAATGTTAACATTCATAATGTATTAGTGTGGCAGTACCACATGAATATGATTCATAAACATACATACAAACCCACATCAGAGTACATTCTCAAGCGTTTGTTATTGACAGGGGTGCATGATCGCCAAGTTCAGAGACCTCTATGACGGAGGAAGAGGGCTGGGCCTTGTGGGAGGATGATGCTCTCATTTAAAGAAAACAGTCATTTTACTTCTTCCTTCTGAATTGTACAGCTGTTCTTTTCTACATCCTTCTTCTAATTTTGTTAGTACTTTTTCAATTCTACTTCTAAAATAAAATTGAGTGTGTCTTACCCAGTTTAGGCTGCTATATAAGATTGTAATAAACAAGATGGCTTATAAACAACAGAAATTTATTTCTCACAGTTATGGAGGCTAGGAAGTGCAAGATCAAGGCACAAGCATAGTCAAGTTCTGGTGAGGACCTTCTTCCAGACTGCAGACTGCTATCTTCTATTATTCTCACATGGCGGAGAGGGTGAGAGAACTCTCTGAAGTCACTTTTATAAAGGCGCAAACCCCATTTATGAGGGCCCCATCCACATGGCCTGATTACCTTCCAAATGCTTGCCTCCTAATGCTATTACATTGGAGATTAGGATTTCAACATAATAATTTGTAAGAGGGGGTACAAAAGATTTAGTGTTTAACAAGTTGCCTTCTCAAGGGTGAAAGAGAGTTTTTAATCCAAATTCAGCTCCATGAAGGGTCAATGAAGAAAACTGTCTATAAGCTGTTTAGATTCCCTAATTTCTTACTGTTGAACTAAAACTACTTGCTTCCTAGACCATTGATACTGTATATTAGTGCGAGCAAGCATGTGTGCACACGTGTGCACACACACACACACCCTTCTTATCCCTTCCTGGCATTTGCAACTGTCACGAGAGGATCAAGTGTTGTAGCTTAGATATTGATCTTTGGCTTCAAACAACAGCAGTACCTAGTGAGCTGCAGGTGGGAAATCCTAGGACCCCAAGAAAGCTCCCTGAACAGTTGTATGAGTACCATGGCCATCGAAGTTCTCCCTCATTGCTCAGTGAGGACCTAGAGAGACTGGGCTTGGAAAAGCTGCAAGAGTCAGAATATAGGATCTTTTTCATGGCCTCAGGGGTAACCATATGAAAATGGTGGAGAATAAATCAAGAAAGAATCAGCCTTCCACTTTTAATCCTTTAAATTGCTCCTCAAATAGTGAGAGCCTGAAGCTCTCCCAGGACCTCTGAAACCTAAAGTTAAGTGTCATTGGCACAATTAGACAAAACTACTGAATGTTTTTCTGCTCCCTTTTTCTGTGTATTACAAATATCAGCTATATCAGCAAACTTATATTTCTTCATTGTCAGCTTTTTCAAAGTAAAAAGTGTTTTTTGGATCAGGATAAGCAAAGAAAACAGATGATACTAGAGATCATTATACAATGTATGCAATATCATGTGTCACTTAAAACTAAAAAGAGAGATTGAATCTTAAATAGAAATTTTAATAAGGCAATTGAGAAAGAGTGTTTTAAAATTACTTATTGGAGAAACTAATCAAAATAGCAGGCTGAGCATACACTTCCAAATACATTTAAATGATATAAAAGTTATACAGAGAAATAAAAAATATAGATGAACATACATTAGAAAGTTATCTTTAAGTATCTGCCATTATTGTATCATTAAAAGAACTTACTGGAAGTAAAAAAGAGATAGGATCTGAACAATAAGAGCAGAATAAACCAGTAAAAGAAAAGGCTCAGAGACAATAAATATGCATATCATTGCATATTAATGAAAGAAATGACTGTGAAACAGTCATGTTTATCTGTAGGATAAATCCTGGCAATTGTCCATTAAAGTGTGAATTACCTGCCTGGGAAAGGTTTTTAAACAGAAACCAGAAAGAGAAGCAGAGCCAGAAGTGCCCTAGGACCTCTCTTTTTCCCCTTCCCCATGGGGAGGAGTGAGGAGAGAAACTGATAATTGGAGAATATCTTCAGGCTGCCTATCTGTTCTATATCGAAAACCCAAAAGTGAAGTTTGTCAACACAACCAGTGTGCTTACACAAAGCTTGTGGTCAAACGCTTAGGAAAAGGCTGCTGGAGAAAAAGACTCACAAAGCTGCAGAGGAAAATCATGCTAACTCCCTATACTAATCAAACTAGATTTTTACCCATAAACATGAACTACCAATACAGAATATTTGAGGAAAACTAATAGCAGAAAGGAAAAGGACCAGAATGAGCAAACAGAACAGATGGCCC